CCCATCTAATCCATTTTACATTGATACAAATCTGTTGAGCTCCGTAGAATTAAATCAAACTAGTTGCCAAAAACACAGGTGCTCAGTTGGTTATGAAATGGAGTGTGTCGATCATGTGAAAAGAGAGTCACGTCGCCAAGGGGACCACAATCCAGTGCGAATATCGAGATTGTAGCATCAAGGTCATAAATATATCTGTGTATATTGTATAGTATATGAGTAAAGATAGAATACCCCTAAAAGTAAGTAAGTATGTATATAGAGAAAAGAAATCATATGTAGATTCCGGATTGGCTAGCAAAGTTCACCTCCACTTCCTTAGAACTCATCTCTCCCCCTCTTCGTGATCTCTGGGTTTATACTAAGTAACTATCTCTATGCATCGATGAGCCAATTTATTGTGTTACATAGTTTCTGTCGATGCTAACTGTGTCTTTGATTTCTCGTTTTCACCGGTTTCCAAGACAAGTTTATTGACTTGGCTAACCCCCCCAGCCGCCTACGTCTACTGCGTCGCAACCAAATTGCGACCGCCCCCCCTCTCCCCTTCAAAACTTGTCTTCACCAACAATTCCTCAGATGATGAAACATAGCACGACCTCATTTTAACGCCAATTCCCTACTTTTCATCCTCTATCCCCTGAACCCCGTCAAGACTCGCCTCGAACCTGCGGTCGCATTACAAGTTATAAGTGCCGTCCCCGCTGGCATCCCACGGACCCTGATCGCAGTGCTCGAGACGAACACGGACCTCGAATCCATTTGTTGGCCCAAAAAGAGGGTTTTCACAAAATGGATCCTGGGTGGCAGCCTTACCAAGATCCTTTGATGGGCCACCCTGCGCAGTTCAATACTGCGTTGGCATCTCATCCTCAGCAACTAGCCTCGAAATACGGTCAGTCATCACAGTCACAGCCGCCCGTCGGATACACCTACGAGGCATTCCAGACTCCCGGCACAACATCCAAAGCCCCTTCGGCTGGCTCAAATTCCAAAACTGTCTCCATGGCTTCCTCCCCCACCGCCACGCCACGTACTCGGGATTATGTCACCGATGCGGATACTACCATGGAGGATGCTGACCCGTACAACCGGGCGAAGTATCCCTCGAGGCCAAACCACAACCGCGCCTCATCACAATTCATGAATCAGGCAGAGGAATCATCGGCTGCCCGCAGATACTCCCCGGGGAATGTTCTTTCGCCGCCGATGTCATATCCAACCAGTCCTGGCAAGTCCCAAGGCTCCTATGGATTCCCATCCGCTCCCCAGAGTGCTTCCCGCCGGTCCCCTGCGAAACCAGAATATGCATCACCGCCACAAGGATTTCAATCGCCGCCATGTGAGTTGCATCTCGATCACTTGTTCGGCCATCCCCCGTTCGCTAACATTTGGGCAGCCAACCGGGCCCCTAGACTCCCTCCTCTTCAAGCCGGTGACCTTAGCCCAGATCAGTACTACCCACCGTCCGCATCTTCACACATGAGTCCAGGTTTTGGTCCAGGGTCGCGATCTCCGCGGTCCGGCTCGCTGCCATCTCAGGCCCCTCTAGTGCCCGGTCGCGGTCCCGTTCCCAAGTTCCAAAAGATCCAGTCTGTGCAAGAATTGAAGCCGCGCATGAATATACAGCCCGCATATCGGCGCGCTAATCCAGAGGGTGGATTCATCAGCGTGAGTCCCCAGCAAACCTCACCCTGCGGTCGCTTTGACTAACCAGTTCAGCCCCTTCAATCGTTGACAACTCACCTACCGGCTACGTACCGCATATGCAACCCTGGCTTCAATTATGAGTCTTCGAGAAATCCGCGACGAGTATTGACCAAACCCAGCAAAGGAGTCAAGAATGATGGGTATGACAACGAGGATAGTGATTATATCCTTTACGTCAACGATATCCTTGGAAGCGAGGAAGCCGGTCACAAGTATGCCCCCGATCTCCCCTGGATATTCGACCCCTGGGCTGACAATCATTTCTCCTTCCGATCTAGAAATCGATACCTCATTCTCGATGTTCTAGGTCAGGGTACCTTCGGCCAAGTCGTAAAATGCCAGAACTTGAAAACGGGAGAAGTAGTGGCTGTCAAAGTAATCAAGAACAAGACTGCCTACTTCAACCAGAGTATGATGGAAGTTTCTGTCTTGGATCTTGTATGGCATATATCCTCAACCCTTATCGTTTGGACCCCTGCTGATTCCCCGCAGCTCAACAGCAAATATGACAAGAACGACGATCACCACCTGCTTCGTCTCAAGGACACATTTATCCACCGTCAGCATTTGTGTCTCGCATTTGAATTGCTCAGTGTCAATCTTTATGAGCTGATCAAACAAAACCAATTCCGTGGATTGAGCACTACTCTTGTCCGGGTGTTTGCCCAACAACTGCTAAATGCCTTGAGCCTGTTGAACAAAGCGCATCTGATCCACTGTGATTTGAAGCCAGAGAATATTCTTCTGAAAAAGTTAGTATGGCCGGTTAGTTTTCAGGGTCAGTCTCTAACTATTCACAGCCTCGAGAGCCCAATCATCAAGGTCATTGACTTCGGTTCTGCATGTGATGAACGCCAGACTGTCTACACCTACATTCAATCGCGCTTTTACCGATCTCCAGAAGTACTATTGGGTTTGCCGTACGTACTTTAGTCTAACCTGTGTTGTTCCTTGTTAATATTTCTTAGGTACTCATCTGCCATTGACATGTGGTCTCTTGGGTGTATTGTGGTGGAACTCTTCCTGGGTCTACCTCTGTTCCCCGGCTCTTCGGAGTACAATCAAGTTTGTCGAATCGTCGAGATGCTGGGTATCCCACCAACATGGATGTTGGAGATGGGCAAGCAGTCGGGAGAATTTTTCGAAAAGACGCAGGACGAGTTTGGAAGAAAGACGTACCGCCTCAAGAGCCTGGAGCAGTATTCCCGAGAGCACAACACAAAGGAACAGCCGAGCAAGAAATATTTCTCAGCCTCAACACTGGAGGAGATTATCCGAAGTTACCCAATGCCTCGGAAGAACATGAAGCAAGCAGAGGTTGATCGAGGTAGGTTTTGTTTTTTTTCCCCCTCTTATATATTCACCCAGAGACTTGACTAACCATTGCAGAACTGAACAATCGGATTGCTTTTATCGACTTTGTGCGGGGACTCCTGTCGATCAATCCCCTCGAGCGATGGTCACCCCAACAAGCCAAGCTGCACCCGTTCATCACCCAGCAGAAGTTCACGGGCCCCTTCATGCCACCGATGAATCTCAAGTATTCGACGGCTAATAAGCCAGCTCCGGGAGTTCAACAACAACAGCAGGCCGAAGCTGCTAGCAAACAAAGAGCAGCTCAGGCGGCGCATGCGCAAAATGCCTATGCTGTGCAGATGAACCAATTCCATACTCCACCTCAGCCCCAGCCCCAGCCTCAAGCCCCGCCCATGTACAATGGCATGTACCAACAAGCTGCACCGCCTCCTCCATACCCTACCCAGCAGCCACCTGGCTACGGTCATCAAATGGGAATGATGCCGGGCAACCAGGTACCCCCTCAAAGTCTCTACGCGCAGGCGACCACGCGAGCAGGTCGTCAACGAGCATCCACCATGGACCCTAACGGAGGAATTCCGACTACCATTCAACGAGTCGCTAGCCACCTAGACCCCAACGCACCGATTCGATTGCAGCCCAGCCCTGCATACTATCCACCTCCTCCTGATGGGTACGTCGATGCTAACGCCAGTCAACGGCGTCGTGGGAGTCGAGCGGGTAATGGGAATGGGAATGGGAACCAACGTAACCGGGATTTCATTCGCACTCTCGAAGACGGTGTGCTCAGCGAAGGATACATGGGTCAGAACCAATGGCACTAGGATATCGGAGCAACAGGGTATTCCCCATGCCCGGCGTTCCCTACAACTCGGGAGCGGGCATACTGATATATGATATGTTGTCAACGGGCGTCAATGACCCCCAAGGCATTGTGTTTGTAAGCCTTGCTCTGGTGACCCATTCCTTGCCAGCCAACCTGTTCTTATATGGCCGGCTCTTGTAGGTATGAGTCAACAAAAAGACCCCTTCAGTGGGTCAACGTGGTCTACAATGGTCTCGGACCGCTGATACACGATCCGCATTGCTCCTTTGCGCTAGATCGACCCGCACGCTTACTCACCGTGAGTTGTGCCCATCAGTGGCCAAATCCTTTGCCGCGAGATATCACTCCCCGCATCATCACTATTTCATTACGTCTCATTACGTTTCTTGCTGTGTTACGATCCCAATTATGTTTCTGCAATTTCTTTAGGCAGTGGTTCGGCATATCTGTCTGCCTTTGTCGTGAATTTTTCTCTCTCAGCATAGCCTGGATGGAGCATGAAAGAACGATCTCATCCATTTCTTTTTTATCTCCTCGTAACTGTTTCAATTAATTCGGATCTTCGAGGGGTGTTGGTCTATCCTTTGTTCTTTCTTTTTCTCGAGGTAAGTTTTTTCGGTTGTATGTCATGACATGTCAGTTCTTCTAGGGGAGTTCATCGTTTTGTTTTCTGTGTGCAGTAAATAGTAGAGTTAATAGTCGAACAATGAATGGAACAATAGTTATGAGTTGATGAGTGCAGCTTCCAAGGTTTCTTTTCGTAGAGATTTCTTTGCCTGCGTCTGCCTGATCGGTCAGGCCTTCCTTGCCAATGTAAAGTAGATGAGAGGTAAATTCCCAATTTTAAAACAGCCTGAGTCGTTTAAACTCCTTTTTTGGACATCACCGTATTATTTTCGAAGTCAACTAGTAGTGAACACAGTCGAAATAAGCAAGGAGAAGCAAGTTGAAGCAATAACAGAAGTATAAAAACAGGCCCGTCACTATTTCTTTGTTATGCGCTATGCCTAATTGAGTTTAGTCAGCCCCTCGCTTAAATTTCGTGTGTGGCTCTCAACTGCGGGAACTTCAACTTTGTATCGCCGACGACCTGATTTTTCAGCTTTAGGATCGCCATTTCCTTTTAACGAAACCGCAATCCGCAACCATGGCGTCGCGTTTCTTCTACGGCAGCGGCAGCGACAGCGACAGCTCGTCTGACGAGGAGGAGGAGGTCTACCGTTCCGGCTCCGGCAGCGAGGAAGATTCTGACCAGGATGACTCCGACTCCGGCTCCAGCACCGACAGCGACGAGGAGGGTGATGAGGGCCGCACCGGTGCCTCTAAGTTCTTGCACGATGACTCCGAAAGCGAGGAGAGTGAGGAGGAGGAGAAGGTTACAGTCGTCAAGTCCGCTAAGGACAAGCGCATCGAGGGCATTGAGAGCACCATCCGTCTGATTGACAACGCCGAGAAGATCAACGACTGGGCTGTTATCGCCACTGGTGAGTCCACACGCTGTCTGGGAGGACTAGAGAGCCAACAAATTTGGAGGGCCCAAGGAACGGCATGAACTGACATGATTTCCACACAGAGTTCGACAACCTGAACCGCCAGATGCTGAAGGTTACTGGGCCTACACCCAAGGTCTACATTCAGGCCGTTGCCGAGCTCGAAGACTTCACCAACGAGACCGCTTCTAAGCAGAAGGCCTCGAACAAGAAGATGAACGCTAGCAACAGCAAGGGCTTCAACGCGGTCAAGCAGAAGATTAAGAAGAACAACAAGGAATACGCCACCCTGGTCGAGAAGTACCGCGCCGATAAGGATGCCTTCATGGCGGACAAGGTTGAGGAGAAGCCCGCCCCTGCTCCTGCTCCCAAGCCCACCAAGATTGAGAAGATCGAGAACTTCGCTGCCGCCGCTGCTGCTGAGGATGATGGATTCGCTACTGTCGGACGTGGTGGCAAGACCCTACAGTACACCCCCGAGAGCATCCTCAAGCACCTCCGTGTCATTGTTGAGTCCCGCGGAAAGAAGAACACCGACCGTGCCGACCAGATCCGCACCATGCAGAAGCTCATCGAGGTTGCCACTACTCCTTACCAACGCATCCGCACCTACATGACCCTGATCTCCACCCGCTTCGATCTGACCGCCACATCCGCCGCCACCTACATGTCAAGTGAGCAATGGCAGGCCGCAAACGAGGAATACTCAGCTCTCCTTTCCGTGTTGGAAGAGAACCGCCAATTCCTTGTCAGCGAAGTTGCTGACGAGTGGGAGGACGACGAGAAGCAACCTACTGTTGCTGAGGGCGAGACCTTCTTCATTCCCGGCTCCGTCGTATCCCTTGTTGAGCACCTCGACGACAGCCTCACAAAGGGTCTCCGCGAGATTGATCCCCACACCTCAGAGTACATTGAGCGCCTCACGGATGAGCAGGCACTTTACTCCTCGCTTGTTCGCTCGCAGCTTTACATTGAAAGCCTCAAGGGTGCTGATAAGAATGGCCAGGACAGCATGAACAGACTGGTTATCAGACGGTTGGAGCACATTTACTTCAAGCCCGCTAATGTCATCGCTATTGTCGAGCAGGCTAAGGACAAGGCAGTTCCCACAAATATCGAGTCAGCAGTTACTGCTACCTATAAGTCTGGGGATATCCAGAGCCTCGTGGCTTCTATCTGCAACTACATGTTCGAACACAGCGACGGCATTCCTCGCGCTCGCGCTATGCTCTGCCAAATTTACTTCCTTGCTCTGCACGACCAATACTACAAGTCTCGTGACTTGATGCTCATGTCTCATCTGACTGAAAACATCGCCACTTTCGACGTCAGCACCCAGATCCTCTTCAACCGCACCCTTGTTCAGATCGGCCTCTGTGCATTCCGCGCTGGCCTCATCTACGAGGCCCAGAACACCCTTGGTGAGATCTGTGGCAGCGGCCGCCAAAAGGAGCTTCTTGCCCAGGGTATCATCATGCAGCGTTACTCCACTGTTTCGCCCGAGCAGGAGCGTCTGGAACGCCAGCGCCAGCTGCCCTTCCACATGCACATCAACCTCGAGCTGCTCGAGTGTGTTTACCTCACCAGCAGTGCTTTGCTTGAGGTGCCTTTGATGGCCCAGACCTCCTCCACCCCCGAGCTTCGCCGCCGCATGATCTCCAAGACCTTCCGCCGCATGTTGGACTACAATGAGCGCCAGGTCTTCACCGGTCCCCCCGAGAACACCCGCGACGGTGTTATTGCCGGAGCCAAGGCTCTTGCCGCTGGTGACTGGAAGCTTTCCGCCTCTACATTCGCCGCGATCAAGATCTGGGACCTCATGCCCCAGCCCGAGTTGATCAAGGCCATGCTGTCCCGCCAGACCCAAGAGGAGGGTCTGCGCACCTACCTCTTCACCTACGCCCCCTACTACGACAGCCTCTCCATCTCTTCTCTGGCCACCATGTTCGAACTCGAGCCCAAGAAGATCATCTCCATCATCTCCCGCATGATCTCGCACGAAGAGCTCGCCGCCGCTCTCGACCAGGTCAACGACGCCATCATCTTCCGCAAGGGCGTCGAGCTCTCCCGTCTCCAGTCCCAGATTGTCACCCTGGCCGACAAGTCCACCAGCCTTCTCGAGTCCAACGAGAAGACCCTCGAGCAGCGTACTCAGGGCATGGCCAATGCCTTCCAGCGCGAACACGGTCCCGGTGCCCGTGGCGGCCGTGGTGGCCGCGGTCGTGGCGGTGGTCGTGGCGGTGCTCGCATTCCCCAGGGCGATCGCCGACCTGGTGGCCAGCAGTTCGGTGGTGGTGCATTGGGCGCAGCGATCAAGGCTTAGATTCTGATGTAATGGCATGTTCTTTCTCTTTTATTTTCCCCCTTTCTTCATGGTTTCTTTTTTACTCCTGTCATCCCCTTCGTGTTAGTACGACCGTTCCTTGTTTTTTAGGTCGGAAAAATTGCCCCGTTTCTGCGCTTTTTTTGTGATTGATCTACATGATATTCACGTATGGAAATGATCGAGAAAGAATCAAGGTGCATACTGGTTAGAAATTGACGGCTTATGGATTAGTTCTTAGTTCTGGTGTGTGTGGTGTTTGTAAAATTTTGTATACTGTAGGAAGTATCCGATACATTCTTCATAGAGCTCGATTGTAGGAACCTCATTGTTATGCGTTATTCCCCCAGTCCACCTCGCTGACGAGGACATATTGAATGTATGGCCTGATCTCTCAGGCAGCGGTGCTACACATCTTGTCGAGAATCCTGGAGACTAGCCAAGTTCACACCCCGGGGGGATGGCCAGATACCCATGACGTGCACTCAGCGTCCCTCCGGCATGAAAGAAACCATCGACCATGCTTTCCATCTTGGGACCCATCTTCTTTCTTCTACATCAGTATTACGGAGCACTCTGCTGAACCTCGTTGACCAGCCTCCTCGTGGATGGTACCTTCGAAGGGACAAGTGGGCTTCTGAGTGACATGAAACCTGGGTTCCAGCTTCTTTGTCACCGATTCTTTCACACTACCAACATCTCAAATGATGCTTTGATTCGGACAAAGAAGTGACACACTCTGTTGTAACCTGGGAACACTCTAGAATTCCTGATTTGTTGCTATTGGTTCGGTGTTTGCAAGCCTCTAGCAAGCTTCAACGATTTCACTTTTCTCGAGTCATTGCAAAGATTGTTGAGGGTATCCTTTTTAGAGATATCATTCTCTCCAATGGCTAGTCCAAGCGCTAGAGATTGAAGAGAGTGCGCAAGTCAGCAAGAAGTTCAAGCAGGCTACGCTATAGCAGACTGAAACTACAACCCTGGCCATATGTTGTACTTTGTTTATTCGCCCTGGTACACTTTGGCAAAGACGTCTGGTCCTTTCATATCTTCATTGATTCGAGTCTTCCATCTCGGATGGGACTTACGGGTACATTGAGATGAAACAAAGTATGTCGAAGCAACCCCAGGGGCTTGATTTCGGAGAGAACAAATATTATCTTCGAGTCATTTCTATTGATGAGCTGCACGCTAGCGGTCCTAGAGTGTTTTCCTAGGCTTCTTTGTTGTCCAGCACATGAGCTTTTCGAAATCCAAAAATAGCATATTGGAAATGGCTCCATCGATCGATTTGTTTCTATCTACGCCAGCATGAAGATATCACTACTCCATAGGCCATCTCAGTTCATCGCGGTTCTTTGTCGCGGTCTACACCACTTCCTCTAGATGTTTACTACAAATATCTTCATCTATATCCCCATCTTAATGCTGCTTCTTCAACCCAAGTTGTCTGGCTCTCTCCTGCCGTGCCACAAGGTCTCTCTTCTTTTCTTCAAGATGCCTCCTCGTCGTAGCACGAAGCGCACGTACTCAGAGCCCCCTGTGGACCCAGATGAATCTACCAAGAAGCGCAAACCGACCAACGGTAGAAGGGCGGGTTCTCCTTCTCCTTCCTCTGATTTTTCATCCGACGAACTTGAAAATGATTTGCCCCTCGAGCCAGAGGACCACGAATATGTTGACTACAGCATGATGTCCCAAGATGGTCAAGTTGAGGGGTACTCACGTCCCCCGAAACAACAGCGATGGAGACACGATGGGGACCAGCCTATTACCGATCCAGCACTTGTCCCAGAAGGCTGGAACGCCGACGAACTAGATCTCGACGTCAATGACATCGATGCTCAAGTCGAGAGGTGTATGGAGAGGATTAGTGACGGAATCTTACCCAACTTCTTTAAGTTCAGACTGTCACAGTATGAGCAAAGAAGGGCTGCTCGCGATAAAATGATCCATTCTGAGCCGGCAGGACTCAGCTGGGACATTGTTCGACGCTTGGATCATTTGAGTATTATCGAAACACATCTCAAGACGGAAGGAGACCCGGATAATCAGCTTCCTAATGTCACGGCGCTCATCAAAGCTTACAGGGAAGGCAAATTGGGATGGTCGAGAGGATGGGTCAGCTACTGGTCGAAGGGTGTGCAGCTCAATACGCCCCAGAAGTTCGACCCGAATCTTCATAAGAAAATGGCTGATGAGTACGATACTACTAAATCGTGGTGGGTGGAAGGTGTAAGTTGATCACAACCGCATGCATATATTATTATGGTTTCTGACTGGAACTATCAAATATAGCTTCAGCCTGCAGGTGGTGGCAGTCTTGGAGGGTTTCACTCCTTTGCGCCGTATACCAATCTCCACAGCATTGAGGTACAGTGTCCATATTGATCTTCCAACTTGTCATTTCCTCTCTCTGACTTAAATTTTTTGTCTTCTCGATAGTTCCCGGTGCATATATCAGCTGATAGTCAACGTCCTGGCGCCGATGGCCTCACCCTATACGTGTGCCATGATACAGGTGCCGATATTATGGCGATACCTCAATGCTACATAGACCAGCTGGAGTCGCTAGGTATTCCAGTTCCAGTTCATGGCTATAAGATCATGGATATCCCTGGCTCCACGTCATGCCACAAGGTTGTGGAGGTTGACGTCCGGGTGACTGACGGCAACAATCAGCCTATATCCCATTGGATGAGAGTACAGGCCTGTGTCCTCCAATCTCAGTCGGAGGACCACTTTGGAATGATTCTTTCGGGGCCTTTCCTGCGGTTTGCGCTCTACACTGCAACATGCCCAGATGGACAGGGAATTCTCTATGTTTGCGATCACAAAAAGGAACTCAGGCAGCTGCCAGCCCTTCCCGACGACTTTGTGCCAAGGGGACCGCCATTTGTGGCTACCACTCCTGCAGCTCCAGGAGGTGGAAAACCACCCCAATTTTTACTAGAACAGACAAAATTCATCAGCCCGGCAACAGCGCAGCCACCTCCAATCCCATTACCAGCAGCCCCCGCGAAGACACCAGCGAAGAGGGGGAAGAAGAAGGGGGGAAAGAAAGGGACCCCCTAGTGTCTAATGCTTTTGTACATGGGTTCTACTCTTTGCCTTTTACTTGCGCTCTCGTTGGTTTGATTCTGTGTTGTTATTCACTCACTTGGCTTCCATACCAGACATGTTTTGGTTTTGGTGTTGGAATTTTGATTTGTCTTTCGTTATACTTTCATTATATATCTGCTTCAATTGACATATAAAATCTCGCTCGCATTTCCAGAACTCCATCAAATCCCCTCCCCTTAAATATTGTCGAGATAGATCCACCAGGCTTTGTTGATAACAAGTCCTTTACAACGCTTTCCCTCAACTAACAAATCACACAGCCTTGGAGTCAGCCGGCCTTCGCCGCCTTGGGAGGGTACTTCTTCCCATCCTTGTCAACTTGAGGTGCGCAGGAACACCACTCGCCTTCGGGAATTGAGTCCATCACTGAAGGAATATGGCTTCCGCAACCCCACCAGGTGACCTTGTCTGTAACAATCAGCTGCTATTCTGTGGATAAAGTGGGTGGAAACTTACTGCAGGTCGAGCAGGTAGCCTTCATACACATGATGGGAATTGATTTGTATATTGGTTTTAGAGGGAGGTTCACTTAAGTGGAACTGTCGGGAGACTTGGCTTTTATATTCTTTTCCCTCCGATATTAGTCATAGCCGTGGCTGCGCGGGGGAAGCCCTGGAGTCGCCGATGTCTGAAGCCCGAATCCCCGATGTATGAGTTTTAGAGGAATTTGATTGGAGTTTGGCAATATGCAGATTAGGGATTCGAGATACATAAGTATTTTATTTTACATAGTAGGCTCTGGAGTAGAACTAGAAGTAGTAAATACGTGAAAATCTGCTTAGTGGGGTTATCGCGGGGAATTCTCCCGTGGCAACTTCAACTATCTCGACGGTCTCGACTATTAAGAACTTCTCCATCATGACGGTCATTGCTGTGGCTGGTGGAACTGGTGGAGTGGGCAAAACTATTGTTGAAAAATTGATCGACTCCAAGTTTGACATTGTCGTTTTATCTCGCAGTGTGCGCAAGTAGAGACACTTTCCACTTGAGCAAGTGACTGACCTCCATTTCAGGTGAAACAGGACTTCGCTTCGCAGAATATTCAAATTGTGCAGATCAACTACGATGATATTCCCTCGATGGCACGTGTGCTTGAGCAACACAATATCCACACCATCATATCCGCCATTGGTCTTGTTTCGGATGAGACAAGTCAGTCTCAGTTGAACTTGATCGAAGCTGCAGAGGCGTCAGCATCGACGAAGAGGTTCATCCCCAGTGAATACTCATTCGTCCAAACCCCCGAGTAGGCTGATCAGCTTCAGCTGTATGCTATTCCATGCTAATATCTGACCCTTTCAAGGTTACTCCCGATTGACCCTAGCATTCAATACTGGCTTGATGCAGCGGATCGTCTCAAGGCTAGTGGCTTAAAATATACCAGGGTAATCCCTGGTTTTTTTATGGACTATTGGGGAATGCCACATGTCCAAACCCACCTGCAGCCCTTCACATTTGGCATTGATATATCCAGCGGCACGGCTGCGATCCCAGGAGATGGGAACAACGTGATCTGTATGACATATACGTACGACATGGCTATTTACCTGGTCAAAGTGCTTAGCCTTGATGAATGGCCTGAATTCAGTGTAATCGTTGGGGATGAAGTTACCTACAACCAGGTTCTCGGCATGGCGGAAGAATTCACCGGTAAGCATATCGCACGCCCTTGTTTGAGATACATCCGTGACCTAATAGTAATTTCCGAAATAGGCAAGAAGTTCAAGGTAACATACGATAGCCTGGAGCAAATCAAGACTGGTGATGTCACCGTCCCTCCTCAGCCAGAGGGAATAGAATACTCATCGGATGAACTCAAAGAGGTAACTGCGTTAGTGAGCAGGCTCACAGTTAACAATGTCTTTCAATTGCCCGGTGATCGTCTCAACAGTCTGTTCCTAGATGTGAAGCCAATTACGATGAGACAATTGCTACACAATGCCTGGAAGAGAAACAGTGCATAAATTTCCCAATACGAACAAGCTTCTCAATTTTGATTTAATGAATGACCATCTGTAATAACAGCGCAAGTCTCAGAGCTCAAAAATCATCCTCCAATTACTTCCATCAAATAATTTGAAAGATCAAAGGCCTTGGCGATATCAGTTATTTGATTTTTTTTTTTTTTTCGAATTATAATGCCAAAAGTTCAGTCATTAACTTGACTATCTAGCAGACAGGCCCAGGACGTTGGACTCCAACACAGACCTGTCGGCCCGGAATCAGGTTCGAGCACCACGGGTTGATATCGTTGTTCCAGCACAGAAGCTGGCTCATGGTGAACTTATTTTGGTTCCGCGCGATGATGTCCCAGCAGGTGTCTCCATTACTGACAGTATAGAACTCGGTGCCTGATTTTGCATCAGCCCAGCTTGAGATGGCGGGGATTTACTTTGGCTCAACTTACAGTATTGGTTCAGCTGCCAGCCTTGGACGGTATTAGTATCGACAGCAGCAGATGTGCCAAGGGAAGCAATTCCCAAAATGCAGATGAGGGATCTGATACCGATGACAACCATTGTGGGCTTTAGAGGCGCGCTCGTACTTGTTTATTATATGACTGGGGGCTAGCAATAAAGCTGAATGAAGCTGAAGATTGTTGAGGATGGAAAGAAGACGACTTGAAAGGGATGGTTTGTTGCCTTTATATGTAGGAGTTAATGAACCCCGAAGTGCTGGATCGAATGTTTGCAGTGGTCTTTTGCCTTGTTGGACAAGTCCATGTGACTTAGGAAGCACTGTACCTGCAAAACAACCGGGTAAGGGCATATAATCCAGCCACAGGTTGCATTCATGATCTGTTATTGCAACCATATTTGCTCCTTGACAATGAGGCTTTTGAAACGATGTGAACAGGAACATCACGACAAGCTCGAAGTTAGCCAATAGATTCAACGAGCTGGTCTTCGCCATGGCTTCATCTTTTCTCATTGATCAATATATGTCTCGGCTCGGCCAATATAGGTACCTCCTGTTTTACGGTTACATTTTCTTTGGATATAATTCCTAAAGAGAGAGTAACCTTGATCCGGGAGTCCCAGTCTGTGATGCAAATAATAGTGTGACAATGAACTGAACCACAGCCATTCACCGGAGGTAGAGCAAAGGTAGCGCAAGCAGATATCTAAGACACAGCTGAATCGTGAGACAAGATCCCAATAGTCATGGTGGTCAGTGAATAATCATTCTAATAAGCGATATATTTAGGCTTAATTATGGTTCGCGGCTATGTGCTGTGGCTAGATTGGGTTGTTATACAGGGTCACATCCCGTTGCATCATCATGGCTTTGAGTAAATAGTTCTTTGCAATAGCTAATTATATGAGATAATTCGGTGAAGAGGTTCGAACTATGGAAATATTTTGCGAGCTCGAACTATTGCTGATACACAAAGATCAAAGTACATTGACCGAACCTATATCGGGGGAGTACAAGGTGTACAGGATCACCCAATTTGAGTCAAATGATTCATATCATGTTATTGATGGTCTAATTGGTGGTAGGGGATTATTGCCACTATATTCTGATCTAACAGTCATATCATGGCTTCCACTCTAGTTCTCTAGTTCACCTACTACATAACACTAAGTTTCATGTAGAACCTCTATTCAAAATCTACGAATAGGATCGGAAAAGAGCTGGGTATAAGAGTGAGGTCTAGATTCAAAACTCAAAAAAGACGTTATCTCGCCATGCAGGCCAATTTAGAAAGTTTCCAAAGTTTAAGTCTTCCAGAATGCCAAAATAAATGTTCTAGGCCACTTCTTCGGCAGGCCGTTACTCCTCCCCGATGAATATCCCGCAGTGAGTACACATAATTAGAAGTTCAATCATGCAGTCTACAGGAATCACAGACCGTGTTTTGGAGCTGACTACCTAGGGGAAATGTCAAGGTCAAATGTATATACATTATTTTGGCCTGAGGCATTAATAATGACTCACCCTGCATGCCTTAATGCCTCAAAGCCTGAATGCCTGAATCTCAGCGGGAAACCTCATGTTGTCTCAACCTACAATTCTTGATCATGATGATTGGAGCCGCGCAGGGATTGCAATCCTGAAGGAACAATCTTGGTGTTACAATACAATCATTTTGTATCATGGATGGGAACGCCAGCAACGTTGTACGCCTTGCCAAGGTATCGACTCGCCCCTAGACGGCCCCCATAGCCCCCATATACTGAGGGAACAACTGTAATTGGATGCTGACTTGCACGCTAAAAAGGCATGCAGTATATGCAGAAGAAAGAAGGTGAAATGTGATGGGACTCGCCCGGTCTGTGTCCCCTGCAGAACATTCGACTTGCCCTGCAAGTACGAGGACACCGTGCGACGCAAGAAAAAGCACGACCGGTAAGTTCTACTTGGCTTGTTGGGTCTTTAAAATTAACGCATATTCACTCACTCACAGCGGGGGAAATATTCATGAGCTGGAACAGCGCATTCAGTCTCTACAAGAAGAGTTGAATGAAGCACATGCATCCAAGAGACGGCGACTGCCGAGTGATGAAGACACAGGCCCAGAGCATGTCCAACCCTCAGAAGCATCCGATTCAGAGTTGCCATCTCCGAAAAATGACACCACTCAAGCATCTTTCGAGGCCGAGGCCGATGGCGACGGAGGGTCATATACCCTTAAAACTCCGAAAGGCGCAATGCGATTTTTTGGTGAGTATTGGCTCACCGGCTATCGTTCCTCAATGGTTACACGAATAGCTGCTGATTCTACCGACTATGCCCAGGCGCATCCTCTCATTTTTCAATCGTTTCCCCTGAGGGTGCGGGCTGGCTTGAAAGCAAGACGGGTAATAATGTATGGCGCCATGCCGTTCAGAGAAACAGCAGTCGATGGAGGCTAGCCGACTGGTATCCCCGAGCTCTTCAAGATGATTTCCAAAGCAGATGCTCGCAACCTTTACCATCCAAGGCGGTCATCTTAGATCTTGTCCATGAATATTTTGACACGTTTAACAAGGCCTTACCGCTCTTCGGGCCGGAAAGTTTCATGGGAATGGTCAGCAGACACTTTTCATGGAATCCTAACGAAAGTCCCTCATGGTGGGCTGCATTTAATATTGTCTTGGCCTTTGCATACATGCGAAGGGCAGAGAGCTCCAGTGCTAGCAGCGATGACTGGCAAAAATGCCTGGGTCATGTCAAAAACGTAATGAACGTGGTCACAGAGCTGTTCATGCGAACCTGCGATCTCCTCGCTGTTCAGGCGCTTCTTGGATTGGCAATTTTCTTTCAGGGCACGCCAAATCCCCAACCTCTGTTCATGTTTGCCGCTGCAGCTGTACGTCTGTCACAATCTATTGGGTTGCACAAATCCAACTCCTTTGGTCTCCCGGAGTCCCAGATTGAAGAGCGGAAAAGAGTCTTCTGGATAGCGTTCATTCTAGACGCCGATATCTGTCAGAGGACCGGCCGTCCTGCTGCCCAAGATACCCGCGATTACAATACTTTACTGCCCCATGAGAACCCACCTGATGGCTTAGGAGTGATGGAGATAGGGAATACCAAAATCAATTTCTTTTCGGCACTAGCCCGATTTGCTTTGATCCAACGGAAAGTTTGCGATGAGCTGTATAGCACCGAGGCATTCAATAAAACCAAAGAACAGTTGATGAAAGATGTGAGGGATTGCTTTGGCGATCTTGAAACATGGGAACGAAGTATCCCACCGAATCTCCGGCCCCGAAGAAACTTTTCGATCGGCCACCATGCCTTCCTTCCGCACATCCTCAGACTTCACTTTGCATACCATTGTTGCTACCTCAATATCCACCGAGTCTGTCTACTTCCTCGGTGCTGGCCGGCCAGCCCACAGAATGAGGGGCTCAATCCCCCAGGTCTGTCGAATGACCGAGAGATATCAATGCAACAGTCAATAGAAGCGGCACGAGCGGCGATTGAACTGATCAGTCAAGTCCGAGACCGCTATGGTCAATCCTTTGAATGGTAAGCTCATCTGATGTGTTGAACTTTTGCTGGTCTCTAACACATCACACAGGAGCATTGTTTACTTCCCAGGAGCAGCCTTGGTTGCATTGTTCTCCCAAATTCTCATTGATCCTTCACGTCCTGACACTGAATCGGATATTGCTATGATCCATGGGGTTGTCAGCTTCCTATCAAAGGTCGCATCCCAAGAACAAGATACATACTTAGACTATGTATTAGCATTATGCTCTGATTTCGAAAGTGCAGCCAGGAAAGAGCTGCATCGGGCCAGAAATCCCGAGCCAGAGTCTGTGGGTGATAATCAGCCAGTTGCCATTCGTCCGCAAGGGCAAACGTGGGCACAGAATGACTACCTGCCCCCAAACTCTTTCCCGGCTGTTTTCAATCCCACGCAACCGACTGAAAATGATGGCAGCAACATAATGTCTACTGATCAAGGTTTCTATACTACAGGACCACTATCGTTACCCGCTCCTCTTTCTTGGAACTGGCAAGACATGCTAGCAGGTGTCCCTCCGGCGTATGATTTTGGTGCATATGATTTAACTGAAAACACTGGAGAGTTGTGAATTTGAACATTATTGAATTCATGGAGTTCTATCGTATAACTATACTAATATGACAACCCAGAAAGTCTCTCTGGAATATGATCATGCCAGGTGATGCTTTGATCATGATGGCAATTCGGAACAGGAGCATTCTTCCAAATAGGACTTGCGTCCTTGTCATCTAGTCTGGCCACGGGTCTCAACATATCCATCCGCCCCCATGGGCTATCTTCAAAGCGCATCATAAATGGAGAGTCTTGTGCAAGATATTCCGGGAAAACCCGTTTCCACCCATCAATAACCTGGATCATAATCTCCGAGACGAACTGATCCGGAGATGAGCGCGCGAATTTGAATGTGTCGAGGGTTTTTTCTACCACTTCAACGGGGTAGAGGCCAACTTCGGGGTCTACCAGAATCGCGTCTCCAGCCACAAGCGAGCTCACAACGTGATACGAGCCACCTTTCTGAGCCCTATCCCGAATAGCCAACATTGTCGCCAAAGCACCGACAACACCAGTAGTCATATCAGAGATCGGCAGCGGTGGAAGAACACTCGTTCCTTCATCAAATCCCAACGACCGACCCATCACGTATGAAGCACCAGATGCGGCATCCCCGATCTGCTGCCAACCAGGTCTCTCGGCGAATGGACCAGATGGACCGTAACAGTTTTCATCGACGTAGACAATGCCTTTGTTTCTTCTGGCTGCCACATCCAACATATTTTGCAGACCTAGTCCCTTCCGGTCCAGTGACCCATACCGGAAGCCCTGGACAAACACGTCTGCATCGCCCACCAACTCCTTGAGTCGGGCCATTTCCTCCTCCTTTCCAATATCGAGATCGATCGTGCGTTTTCCGGCGTTGAGGGTTAATTGGAGGACCTGTTTGAAGATGATTAGTGTTTGGTTTCAGAACAAGAAGAATGATCCACTTCACTCACATTCAAATCCGCCAATCTACTACAGTTGACACGGATGACATCTGCACCGAACGATGCGAGAATTACTCCAACGGTGGGACCAGCGATAATTCGCACCATCTCCACGACCTTGATCCCAGCCAGAGGCCGACGATCAGGGAGCTGAGTTAAGGGAACTGACGGCGTCGGTTGCGCATACGACTCACGCGTGTAATTCACGAGAGGGTATTCCGCAAGCCGCTTCCCCATTTCAGTCTTCCTCCAGCCTTCGGGAGAGTAGCAGATGCTCCCACATAATCCATGTCTCACATTATGCATCTCAAGTTCATCAGGACTCCATTTCTGCACATGTTCCCGAATATAGTCGTATCCCTCCTGGAATGATTTCAACGGCACGTCCATGTTGATCCCCATCGAGCAGAGCGTCTTGCTTGCATCCAGCGACCCATGGAGTTGATACCACACCCCGGAGTCCTTGGTGGGATACAGCGCAGTGGCTCGGCCAGCTAATGGACCGACCCCGAATCCCTTCTCGAAGTCCCTGTCGAAGATGTTGGGAAGTTCGCGGGCCCGTGCAAGAGTGGAAATGTCTTTGCCATTCACGAATGCCGTGAACGTCGATGCAAGCCAGATTCCAGCATGGTCTGTGTTTACAGTCACGCTGGCTTCCTTGGCTAGCTTGCCATCCCGTAGCTCAAGAAGTTCGTTTGCCACCAGCCCGCACATGGCATGCAAAGCCGCTGTCACGACGGGGGACTTCATCGGACCGGGGACCATAGGGTCCGGCCGGCCTTCAAAGCTGACAGTATCCCATAGCGCAGTGTCTTTTGTGAAACCTGGTGTTCGTGACGCCAGCAGTTCAAAGACTCGACGGGAATCCTCCGGTACAGGGAGGGCGGTCTTATCGATATAGGTTCCGGGTCCGTATACCTCGTTTCCGGGGATAGTCTCGTGCATTTTAGCTCAAAGACAAAGGGACAAAATAACAAAGAGGACAAAGGATGTGACAATTGCGATTGTTAAGCGAATCTTCACGGGTTCTCGAAAATACACCGCTGCCGATGATCCCCCATTTATACTTACACGGGCAAATTTATGCAAAGTCCTTAGACTCAATTAAATCTCCAACCCGAGTTACAACACACCAATTCGTGTTTTCTTTTTTGGACTACATCCAAATCTTACCAACTCCAACAATCGCGAGAACATCCTACTGGTCCATAAATGGGGTACCTTCCTCATTGGGTATGAAGCGATGTGATCCCCCCCGCAGCCAGCGCTTTGAAAAAACCGCCACGGAAGGAATAAGCAAAAAGCCCACGGAATTATGTTAACAGGTTGGATTCAGCCTCAAAAACTAGACCTAAATTATGAACGAATGTTTATCACTCTTATTTAATTCGTTCAATCAGTGGGGAACTAGTTCCGGAGTAGTTCCACGGCCCACGGAGTTTATGACTCGACGGATTTCCCGTGGGATTCTTTTCTTGTGCTTTTGCCTCGGTGCTCTTCTCCAACCGAGGGGGTTCATGACTTGGAATAACCATTCGAATATAATAGTAGCATTCAATTCAAACTGTTTCGTTATACTCTACAACCTTTTAGTCTAAAATCAACCACTTATCTCAATATTTCTTGAAAAAAGAAAAATAAGATCTACAACACTATACAATGTCTGCCAATTCAAGTGAAAATAGCCGACCAGTCAGAGTCGCCAATTGCTCTGGTTTTCATGGTATGGAGAACATCTAAATTAAACCCAACAACCAACAGTACTAATGTACAAAAGGCGATCCTGCATACGAGATGTATCGTCAAGCCACTCTGGGAGATGTTGACTTTATCACGGGCGATTACCTGGCGGGTACGTTGCTTGGCAATATGAACTAAAGAAAGTACTAAGTACTAATTGAGCTAAGAGGTCAACATGGCAAATAATGCCCAGGCCTATCAACGTGGCGAACATCCCGGATACGAGCAGACAGCCTGGGAAGGTATCCAGCAGAGCATTGACGTGATCGCCGAAAAGGGCATCAAAGTCGTATTAAACGGAGGAGCTCTTAATCCCAAAGGGCTAGCTCTGAAAGTGCACGAACTCGTTAGTACAGTCTTCGCCCAACTATATGAATATAGACATATACTAACTAAAGCGTAACAGATCAACAAAAAAGGCCTCGCTATGCGAGTAGCTTACCTATCAGGAGATGACCTCTACACAAAACTCGGCCCTAACATGCCGCAATCCGCAGAAGGACTCCAACACCTCGACGCAGGAAATACTTCCGTCAAACCTAGCCCTCTCACATATGCATTCACCAACACCTCCAAGCCCGTCCCTATGGTCTCAGCGCACGCATACCTCGGAGCCCGGGGAATTGTGGACGGGCTCCGCCGTGGAGCAGATATAATTATCTGCGGCCGAGTTGCAGATGCCAGTCCTGTTATTGCGGCTGCATGGTACTGGCACTCCTGGTCGGAGTCGGACTATGACCGTCTGGCCGGGTCCCTGGTGGCGGGTCACCTTATTGAGTGCTCGGCCTATGTTACTGGCGGCAACTTCTCTGGGTTTGACCGACACCCATTTGACACTTTTATTGAGCCGGGATTTCCCATTGCAGAGATTGATGTTGATGGATCGTGTGTTGTTGCGAAACATCCTGGAACTGGCGGTATGATTGATGTCGATACTGTTCGGTGTCAACTTTTGTATGAGCTTCAAGGAAATGTCTACTTGAACAGTGATGTCAGTGCTATGCTGGACGATGTTGTTGTTGAGCAAGCTGGAAAGGATAGGTAAGTGTCTTTTTTTTCCGTCGTTCTGTTGATATACTTGCTAAATCTACGTCTAGGGTTCGTGTTCATGGCATACGAGGCTATGCCCCTCCTCCAACAACCAAGCTGGCAGTATTCTATCCTGGTGGCTTCGAGGCTCAGATCTTACTGAATGCTACTGGATATGGCACTGATGAGAAGTGGGATCTGATCGAAAGACAAATCCGACACTTCATTCCAAAAGAATCCATCGATCGGATTTACACACTCGAATTCCAAAGGTAACTTTATTTCATCTTCCAAATCCAACTTGAACCAGCGTTGACGTCGATATGTGAAAATCCAGAATTGGTATTCCTGCTCCAAACCCTAGTTCACAGCGACAAAGCACCACATACCTACGGGTCTTTGTTGCTGCAGTCGAGGCCGACGCTGTTCTCGCTGTCGGAAAAGCAATGAAAGACATTTCTCTTAAGCATTTTTCAGGTGCGAACAAATATCTGCTATATTAAAATCCATGCTCCTAGCTGACTTCGACTATGCGCATTTTAGGATTCCACTCCTCCCTCGACATGCGCACAGCGGTCCCACGCCCATTCCTAGCCTATTATCCTGCTATAGTCAAACAGGATGATCTCAACGAGGAGATTAATTTCATCGATGGACCCGATTCTATCATCTCATTCCCAACAGGTCATCCTTCAGCGTACAAAGCTTTGGAGCCACGTGCAAGCTACAACCACAATTCATCCAGCGATGAAGTCGCCCTCCTCCAATCTCCAACTCGGTCTATTCGATTGGGAGACATTGCTCTTGCCCGGTCTGGTGACAAAGGATCTAACCTCAACTTTGGAATATTTGTCCCTGATGCCACTCACTGGTCTTGGCTGCGGTCTTATATGAGCATTGAAAGAATGCGAGAGATGCTCGCTGATGACAATGACTGGGATGAGTCGTTCTTGGTTGAGAGAGTGGAATTCCCGCACATTCATGCTGTGCACTTTGTGGTCTATGGTATTCTTGGTCGGGGTGTTAGCAGCTCGAGTCGATTGGATGGGTTTGGCAAGGGCTTTGCGGACTATGTGCGTGATAAGGTTGTTGAAGTTCCTGTGGAGATTCTAGATTGAATTTTATTTGTATCGCGGAACATATTATAAGATATATTGATCAGTGAGATGCAGAAATTTGATCGTGAAGTCTATTAGACACAAGTTGAGTATGCTTAACATTCTTGAATCAGTGAACAATGCACACGTTGCATTAAACATCAAATGCTAGAACATGTTCAATCGTCTCGTTCATGAGACTGCCAGAACAGCGACAGCCCAAGGATCCATGTTTATTGAATAATTCCCTTGTCCATTGAACACACTGGTGGTGGCAGTTTGGATTTTCACGTTGAAAGGTGTGTTGCCCTGGTACTTGGGGCCAGCAAGCATCTCCAGTTTACCAGATTTGGTTCCTGGTATACTTACCTTAACAGTCTGGTGCTCGGGACCATAATTTGCCAGTTTCAAGTAGTATTGTGAACCTGTCTTCGAAGCAACCCAGTAAACAGGTCCAAATGCTGCTGATGAGTGAACTGGAAGAATGGTGTCACCCTTGTTGGATGCGAACATCTTTTGCACAAAATATGAAACCGAAGGTGTGACGGAGTCGGGAGCCGAATTGAAACCGTATAGAGTGGGCTATGATTAAGAACAGCGTGGTCAGCTATATTCCTGGTGTTCTTTTGACATCTTTTCGATAGATAATCTTACCGACCAAGAGACGAAATCAAAGTGCTGCATCAAGGGTGCGTAAGCCACCATCTTGACAATATCACTGTTGCGCTCCATTCCAATCATGTACACGGCCTCACTGCAACTGCCCTGCACGTATGGCCAGTATGTTCCTGTCTCTTCTGTAGTATTGCGACATCCAAACTCGCCAATCATCACTGACTGGTTCCGCGGCTGGTTATCAAACTGGTCGAACAATTTCACAAAGTCGTCTGGTGCTCGGTACAGATGAAGATCAATGATGACATTTTCGGGAAGCGGAGATGGCAGACAAGAATAGTTCCCATGGGAAGCAACAAACGTGATGTGTGGGTACTTGTCGTGGATGGCCTTATAAATTTGATTGAAACGATCCGGATAGGTGTCACAGCCACCAGTAAGGTCATCTTCGTTGCCAATTTCAATAAGATCAACCTTCCATGGTTCTTTACGACCGTTCTGGGCTCGCAGTTTGCCATAATGTGTTGAAGAGTCGCCAAAGAGATATTCCATCTCATTCATGATATCCTCGACAAAAGGTTCAAGGTCTGGCCCGGAGAGGATGTCCCCATAGGACTTTCCCGACCACACAGCCAGGAGTGGCGCCATGTTCATGTCTTCACACCACCACAGATACTCGTCCAGGCCGAGGGCATCTGTATTGGGGTAAAACCAGTCGCTTTCTCTTCCTGGGCGGTCGACCACGGGTCCAATCGTGGTGTTCCACTTCCAGCGAGAATCAACTTCTAAGCCTTCGAGATTGTTCCCGCCCGGGAACCGGAGAAACGCTGGATTGACCTCGTCCAGAAACATTGCGACGTGATCTCGCAACCCATTTTCTCTTTCTTTGAAAGTAGGAGGAAACAGTTGGATTAAGCCAAAGTTCAACGAGCTACCAGCAACCTTTGATCCATCAAACGTCAAATGCCACTCATTATCCCCTTTTGGTGTATAAGTAGTGTTGAACATAGTTTTGAATTCTGTGAATTTTGAATCCGTACTCTTGACGGTCAAATTATGATCAGCATATATCGAGCCACTATGCGACCCAACAAGCTGCAGGTTGATGGTTCCCGAGTAGTTGCCCATCATCCAGAATGAACAGTTATATGTGGCACCCGTGATTGGAATTCCGTTGTAACCGGTATTGGCAAAGCCAACATACTCTGTTACACCTTCTTGTACTTCGACGTTGAGCGAGGACGTAATTGCTTTGCTGACGGGTTTTGAGGTATCCTGGAAGATTGTCACATCTCCCACCGGAGCGTAGGAAGTCAAACCAAGACTAGTTCCTTGAAACCCATTGTTTTGCAGCAATTGTCCGTGGATTCCACCATCGCCTTGGAATAGTTAGTCATTTTCTTAATCAACAGGTTCAAGCTCCCTACCAGAATGATCCATTTCCTAACAATATCAAAGGTTAGCAACACAATTACTTGCCGTAATCATAGAGCTAATTTATTGCTCACCTCGAACATAACTCCATATAGAAGCGGACTCGACTTATTACCACCCTCCCTTGCGACTATCAGACTGATGGGAACAGTCGAACTATTCCCTTTAGTGGAATTATCCCCTTCAGCCAGCGCGCCTATTAGGCACGTAGCGAGCAAAACAATAGATGTCGCGAGGCCGGCGCATGTCACAGATTCAGACTTCATGACGAGTTAGAATCTATACAGGATATGTATAGCAATAAGTTGCAGAAGAGCGAAGAGAATCAGTAAAAACCCATGCTAGGGAAAGTCAAGGTTTTCGAGAGAAAAGGCACTGCCCCTGTCTTAGATGGAGTGACTTGCATGACTGTAGGGTGTGATTCGTTCGTGTTGGACCTGGCCTGACAGGTGTTCTCCACAGAGGCATCATGGACCCCGAGATGGATACGCATGCAAATCATCATGCTGAGACACAGGTTATAGAACCTTGGATCTGCCAACATTCCAACATGTAGGGAGGCGGGCATCTAATCACGACAAGCGTCTTCTGAACATTTCATTGGATCGTGCTATTAATTATCTTGCACATGTCAATCTTGCTTTATTCCTGCGCCATGCGTTGTGCATTAGTGTAAGTTGTTCATTGAGCGTTGAGAGAAGTCATGACGTCGGATACTCCCGAGGTCGGATCGACCTCGGGGTACATGGATTCGGGCTTGAACCTAAGCACATCATAGTCGATCCTTTGATTACCAGTGATCTGCATAGTGAAAAGGTGATATCGAGATTCAGCTGACCGTGCACTAGGCTATACCGTTGTACGATGTACGATGTACGATGTTGTGTCGAGACGGCAAGTGTGTCCATCCAAATTTCGCCTTGAAATTCAGGCGAAAACATTTTTCTTAAACTATGAGTGGGCACATGTAGCAAACTGATTCCTTCTCACTTCTAGTAAAACACAAAGGACTATCAAACAAGACGATCAAAGAATAGGCTGAAAGAAAAAGCTGTCTCGAGATGAAGGCGGTATCTGATCTGCCACTATATCATATGTATTTCCAAATCGGTATTAGCTTTCTTTCTCTATCTACATATCTTCCTTTGATCTTCATCAATATTCTTATCCAGCTTTGAGTCTCAGAGTTGAGGATGAAATACATTGTGGTATCTGGAGGTGAGTCTAACGGTGATCTGCCAGAAGTGGCTCTGCCTCCAGGGCTTTACCCCGTGGAGAAAAGTGGGGCAGTCTCCATGTTTCACGTTTAGCGTTTCGAGGTATAAGAATAAGAAACTGACCTTGCTAGGCGTCATCTCTGGAGCAGGGAAGGGCATCGTCGTTTCGAGTTCAGGTCTGCTAGTGCAAAGCAAAGGATATATCGTTATAGCCATCAAGATAGACCCCTATATCAACATCCTATAGCTTAGCTTCTACAACTCTCTTCAATGCTATCTCACATTCAACCATGCATTTTGACGTAGTCCTCTCTTGACAGGTTATTTATAACTTAAGAGTCCTAAAAATCACCGGCGCTTCCCTGAGGAGATTCAAATTTTGTAGATATAATTAGCAAATTAGAAAATTCCAATATTAGTTAAAATATGGGTGGTGTGACCTCGTGGAACTTTAAGTCGGATCTCCTCTCGCTGGGGGAACGAGTAACTCCAGAACTCTTGCATGTCGAGGGACTCACCTGGTACCTTTGCCCACATCACATACGTAACAAACCCTCCGGGGACAATGTTATCATTACCTTGTCGATTAGACTGATATACGGCAATTCTGGTGATGGGTTGAGGGTGACCGTGGTTCCCTCGAGGCGGGTGAGGAATTCGGGTGAAGACATTGTGGTGATAATTGATGAAATGTGAAGATGACAATTAGAAAGCGTTTGGTGTACACCCTGCCCCCGTTCCCTCATCAATTCCATCAACCAAAAGGTGGTTCCCTCAAAGTTAAGCTTTTAGCAGTTCCCCTCTATGGGGGGCTAGCGCGCTTCTCATTACCTGGCTGCATCTCTCACTTCGGTGGGGTTTGGGATCTCTACTTGTTGTATTGCAAAGTTCTGATAGTATTATGTGATTGATGTATTTGAGAGCCTAAACCAATCTAGAGGAGCAGTTCTTCCACAGTCATGGCGTCAAATTATTTCATGCAAAGAGAAAAGGCCCGGAACAAAAGTTGCAGAAATCGAGAAGCGAGGGAAAGGGCAACACAATCATAACCGAAATCTGAACAGGGATGGAGATGAACATGGATGGCGAAGTCCATGACAAAACTCAACAAGGTAGACTACCACGTTGACACCGAGAATGAAGATGAAAAAAGTGGGTGTATAATGCATATGGTGGATAAGGATAATGTGTACAGAGAATGGGAGATGAATGGGTGAAAAGAAGGCCAAATCAAAACCAAGAGGAAACGAAAGTCTTGACCTGAATGACCACAGAAGATGGTGAGCCCGGGGAGGAAAAGAAAGTCGGAATCAGTGTCTCACTGCGTTCCAAGGCCAACCTTGGAAACAAGCGACTTAGTTGATAGCTCGCTTCCAGAACTTCCAGCCCTCTCTCCTCTCCTCTACTCCAACACCAACAAGACGCTCAATGCCTTCGGGGCCCTCGGCATTTTCGAACTTCTGTTGATCGATCTCCTCGCCGCCCTCTTCATCCGAGCCATTGCGTAGGACGGCCGGGTAGAGAACACCAACACCGTCACCGCCAAGGGTTACCTCGTACGTAGTGAAACCCTCCTGATCGAACTTTTGTTCGAGGTCCTGCTTGACTTCCGCATTTGCATTAGGCCGGAGGAGGGTAATAGCACACCCGCCACCACCTGCACCGGTCAGCTTTGTCCAGCCAATGTCGGCGTAATCGACAAGTTCACGAATGCGTTCAAGACGGGGGTGAGAAACGCCTAGCGAGACAAGGAAACCGTGGTTGATCCGGATTAGGGTTCCGATGTGGGCGAGGGTGGCCTCACTGATACCCTTAAAACCAGGGTCCTTCAAACTAGGGTCCTGGATTAAACGTTGTGCAGAGCAGGTGACTTGATCGATGCCGTTAAGGATTGACTCCGTCACAATAGGATGGGCGTCTCTTAAAGCACCGACTTTGTCGACCTCTGTCTTTGTGGAACGCGCTTGTTGGGTGTTGACAAGTAGGAGAGGAAGTTCGGGGAAATTAGGTAGCGAGGTGACCGTCGGAGGTTTCGAGTAATCGTCGCGTCGGAAAATCACAGCCTTGCCGCCCGCGGCTACCGTGTTGTCTACCCCGCTAGGATTGCCATGTATACAAAGCTCCCCCACGAAGGCCCAGCGGTTGATACGCTCAATTTGTGTCTCTGCTTCCTCCGGTGGCTGATCTGGATGGGGACCGGCGAGTGTACGGATTTGAAGAAGTAGCGCGGAGCTAAGACAGACGCAAACACTAGCACTACTTCCTAGGCCGGCTCCGGTAGGGATAGTGGATCGAAGGGTGTAAATAGCGCCTGGGCTTTGTGGGGAGCCTAGGGAGAGGAAGAGGTAGAGGAATGAGGATGCGGAGCGGATATGGATGTTGCGCTGCTCCTCTGGGAGGCCCTTAGAGACGCCCTGGAGGTGTGGTTCAATTGCATCGACAAGTTCCGGGTCGAGTTCGGTGACAAGGCTGTAGTAAAACTTCTTTTTTGAGGGCTCGTGGAACTTGTCCCAAGGTAGGGTGTCGATATCCCAAGTGTGACTAAGACCCAAATCCCGGAAGTTTAACGTTATCGTGCGCTGTGATTTAGAGAGGGTGGTGACAAGAAGGTAGGAGCGAAGAGAGATGGCCGCGGCCATAGCAGACTTGCCGTGGACCACAGCATGCTCGCCAAAGACGATAACCTTGCCCGGCGCGGACACCATAAAGGTAGGCGCCATAGGCGAAGAGGCCTTGCGAGCCATTATCGGCCGCTTGGGTTTCCCAGTAGCAATCGCTTCGTGTGTTTCTGAGGAGACGGAGGCGCTGTCGGAGTCGTCCAGGGCACCGTTTCCGTTCACACCCTTGGGGTGGATAGGGAGGACTTTGACCGTGCTTTCGGGATGAAAGTCGACTGTACGACGTGCGGGATTTGTACCCATACCGTTCAATGGGCGGGTGGCATTCTCGGTCATGACGGGATTGGAATTCGGGCAACAAAGGGGCGAAATTGGGATTAGGAATTAAAAGGATAGAAATAGAAGTCAAGCCAACGAGGAACGTAAAGAATGAATTGCCAAAGCAAATTGCCAAAGAGCCAAAGAGCCAAATAGCCAAAGAGCCAAGATATAAGCAAATGGGGCAATGGAGCAATGGAGAAGTTGGGGGAGAAGTGCTCGAAGCTACTGGGTATACCAGGGAACGCGAGAGGAATGGCCCAATCACAGCCACACCAATACCAATTGGTCAGATTAGTTTCTTATTTATTTAGGACCCTTGTTAGGTCTTGGGTCTTATTATATTATTTCTCGTATCTTGATAATTCAGCTGGTTTGTCGCCCTTTTATACAACATTCTAGCAAGTGCAGAGATTTTGTGGCGTGCAGTAGCGCCGGGATGATCGTCTCTATGCCTTTGTGTGTTCAGGATACCGTTGTATTTACAGGTGAATCTACGGAGTAGTTACTAGCGGAATAGAATATTTGCATGGGTAACGTTATCAAATACATATTTCCAACAATCTATAACTGGAAAAAAAAAATCTCAAATCTAGATGTACTATGTACAGTCCGCATAATCCGCAGTCATTAATTCATCACAAGTTCATCGTCACGGTCATGCTATTACTATGCACCAGCAGACACGGGGGCAAGCCGTTCCATAGGACATCCAGGTCACTCAAGTAAGACGCACTATCCTCCGCACTGAGCGAAGTCCCCTCCACGGGAGACGGTAAAGTCGTGAAGATAACGGCGGTGTCACCACTCTGCTGAACCATCAACTCGTTCAGAATCAAATGCTGTGCTCGACTTGGAAGATCATTAAAAGACAATGGAACCGACGCCACACCAGGGTATCCCGTTGCATGTGTATTACCGTGGGCACTAGGCGAGCTGGGCGACACAGCAGATGGACGACGAGCATAGATAGAATCTAGCTTGTTTGTAAATCGTGGAGGTGAATTTTGCGCCGCGAACATGATAGACGGTCCGTTACCCTCCTCAGCTTCAGTGTCCACTTTAGCTTCGGGGATGGGTGCGGAGCTGAACCGGTTGCTAGAAGCAGAACGGCTCATAGAGGGCCGTAGACCTAGAGGTTTGCTTTTCGGAGAGGCATCGTCGCCAGTCTCAATTATTGATGGGATTATCTGGTTGGATGGTGTCTCCTCTACTTGAGAGCTCACACGCACTGGTGTGCCTGGGGAGTCTGCGGTAGGGCTGCAATCATCGGTCTTAGACCGCCCAAGGAGTCTCGAAGATCCGGAGACGGGTATAGCCTCATTTCGAGCGCTGAGTATGTCCTCTCCGCCGTCCTCTGGTTCTGGATCACTGGCGTACGCCTCCAGGTCACTGTCTTCGCTCTCACTCGGGCTATCCGAGCTGTAGTCGACGAATGCATCTAGCAGGCGATGCGTTTGCATGCCGAGATTCACTCCTCCTAGAGCCCGGAAGCTAGAGACAGATCGTCTGCGTCGAGTGGACTGAATCAGTTTCTTCAAGCCAGTCACTCGATGGTGTAAAGGCTTGGCTCCACTGTCTTGGCTCGATGGTCCTTGCCAGGTATATGACTTATCAAGATGGAGACTGTCACTGGTTTTGTCCTGCGGTTCTTGATCTAGGGCACGAGCTCGTAACACGCCTTGCCACCAGTCTTCCCCCTGTAGAGCGGAATTAACCATCTCTCGGGCATCAGCTGTGACCGAAGCGTCATCATTCACGATGGTTTGATAAACCTGGAGATCACCGCAGGCAAGCCAGAAGACCAAGACTTCGGCCTCAATACGTAATTTGTCAAGGAGAGCTTCAACTCGCCCTCTTTCATCTTCCACATCAGTCTCGTACTCCACGAACACCGCAACCCGGATCTTGTATGTCTTCTTCCACGAGGGAACAGTGTTGAGAATACAACCCAACTGAAGGATCAAAGTGTACGTGTCAAAATTAGTGGTCAGCACATTTTGCTTGCTTTCACTATCAGCCCCAAGCTCGGCGGACATTTGGATCGGCCACAAATCAATATACTTCTTAGTGTGACGACCGCGGGGGTCTGGTAGCTCCAGATCCTCGAATCCCTTAGCTACGGCAACATTGATCCGGAGCTTGAACAAGAGATCTTCAAGGATCGTCACATAACTCTGCCCGCTCATAGGCGGGTTTGCCGACCCAGACTCGCTGGATTCCTCGTTTCGCGAGCTCGGGTGGACCGAGTGGCGTCTAGTCCTCGAGTCTCTGCGACCACTGTTCAAGGATAGGGTTTCAACAAGTGACTGGTCCGATCGGAATTGGTCGATCACAACAATATTGGGCCTCATGCCACCCAATCCTGAATTCAATACAATATTTCGCATACCCCATTCCGCAGCGGGCGAAACGGAAATATTGACAAAGGCTTTGATCTTGGAATACTCGACTAATTTTGTCCATGCAGTCTGTTGGCGACGTGCTTCAGGAACAGCTGCTGAGAAGTCATCGGTCACAAGAACATGAGCTAGTACAAACAGAGATCCTTTTTTCAACGAATTGCAGAAGGAGACCATTTTGTATTGCTTGTCGAGGTCGCTGACAAAGAGCAGGATCTGAGGACGCCAGAACTTGACGTGCTCCTGACGCAGGCGAAGCAAGTATTTTCGTACTTGATGATAGATCAAACTTTGACTGACATCGCCCCAAGGCTTGGGTGGCGAGGTATAATGGATGAGCAGGAAGAGAACCACCAGGATGCCTACACATCCTGTAGCGTAAATACCGTCCACAAAAAACATGCTGATACCACTAACGAGCGTTCCAGCCGCTGCAGTCTGCCAGTTGAAGTAGTGGAAGGACGGACGAAAGTTAGGCGCAGAGCCAATTTTCAAAAGAAAACACGCGAGATTCATCACAAGGAACGTCATCAAGTAGGTCATGGTAACAAAGGATGCAATGCGATTGATGTCGAAGAGCATTGTGACCTGGGCGAATACAAAGGTTATAATGATGGCATATACGGGATCGTCGGTTTTCTGCGCGCCTTGAGCAAAGATTCCTATGCCAGGAAAGAGGCTATCTCGCGCAATAGCTTGAAGAAGTTTAGCAGATCCAATCACACCCATCAGAGCGGAAAAGAAGCTGGTTGCGAATTCTCCAAGAAGGATCACACTATCAGAGGCATTGACCTACACTCAGTTAGATCGTGCTTGTAGTTTTCCTCCTGTAAGGACTTACGATTTGTATAACATTCACATTGTTATAAAAAGACTCCCGGGTCACCGAGGCCGCCATCGCCAGGATGACAAGACCATAGGCGACAAAAGTCAAAGCCAACCCCGAAAGCGTACCCTTAGGAATAGCCTTGCTTGGGTTTTTCAGGTCACCAGACATACTTGCACCTCTAATTGCCAATTAGTGAAATGGTGTTGAAAGTCTGCTGTTGCCAACTTACGCAAAAATACCTCCTGTAGCAGGAAACAGAATGCCGAAGAGGTCTTGGAAGTTCTCTCGTCCTTTGATTTGGCTTCCTGCAGCTCCTTTTGTTAGATTAGGTTTGAGATTCCCCATCAAAGTTTTCAAACGAAGTCCCGTGAACTCCACCCCCTGGCGAGGTATTGGGAAAGGCTTCATAAAAACCGCAGAGAGCGGTATGCTGAAAGTTGCCACGAGTAGTATAACCAGAAGCCCGTTACTTGCCCTAGCAAATATGGAACTTCCTGCCAAGCAGATTCCCGTGCAAAATACCAGTATAATGGTTCCCCATAGGTACTGCCACCAAAAGCCTTCCTCCAGGAAGTTGGCCCAGTCCCCAGACTGCGTCCCAAAGTTCTGAGTAAAACAGTCCACCAAACCAACAGCATTCATCCCGGTGTTGAACACATAACCAAGATAGAATACAATGCCGATGGAGCCACCAAATTCGGGGCCCAGAGATCTAGAGATAAGGTAGTATGCACCACCGCCTCGGACCGTCCCGTTCGTTGCAATTGCAGACAGAGACATTGTTGTCACGAGGTTAATTGTGTATGATACAAGTAGCAGCCCTTTAATGTATCAGAAGTGGGATCCTGACTTTGTGGGAAGATAATGCTCACCTAATATGCCCAATACACCAGCTTGTCCCAGGATGAATCCGAACCGAAGGAACATAAGAATACTCAAGACGTTCAATGTCGTCGGAACAAAGACACCAGAGAATGTACCAAGCTTCTTCGGCTCATCCACCGATCGGGATCGATGCCCACTCTTGTCCTTCTTATCAGCGCGGGCGTCGCGGAAAGGATCTGCAGAAAGGAACATATTTTGTGAAGTGGTATCTCCACCGTTCTGCTGTTCTTGATCGTGGTCCCCTCGGTTGTTCCACCACTGAGAGAGGCCCCGGAAGTAATGTATGGGAGAGGCATGGCGTTGGTCATCGGTTGGTTCTGACGAATTCACGGGCTCATACGGACGGGCCCATCGAGTCGGTGGCCAGGGTAGCAGGCGAGTACGTTCGTCAGAGATATTATGGGCCGAGTCCCCCGGATCAAGTCGTGAGACATCCTCTTGAGCAGTACGAGCCGCGAAAGTTGGGCGTCGCCGAGACAAAGAGTCGGAGGATTCTCCGACTCGTTTCGCCATGTCAGTTGCGAGATTTATGGTATGAACATGAGGGCATAAACAACAATTCAATTTAGATAACAGAAGCCAGCAGTCCCAGCAAGACCATTGAGTCTGCAAAGAGGCGGCGCTAATATCAAATGAACCGAAAAAGAAAAACAAGCTGTATCAGTAGATGACGTTGGTAAGGTGCAAACATTTTCCAGTTTGCATCCCATCAACCGCACTTGGAGCTGATCGGCCGTGGACTGCTTGGCGCTAATGTTAGTGTCTCAAACCCTCCTCAATTACATCTTGGCCTTTCCACCCGAATCTTCACTCCGAGAAGCTGACCTACGCTATCATTTCAAGCGCCTGGCCTTCTGTCCATGCCCATTCCCCGAGCCTAAACACGGCATCCTGTCAGGAGCTAGCTTGACCCAAAGGCCACCTTTAAAATGGCGGATAATGGAGAGGGCTCGTCCCTAAATCCAACTCGATCTGTGCCGATAGTCTCATCCTCGGTGCGCTCGAGGTCCCCCGCACCTGAGTTTGGTAACAGACAGGCTTCCATGGCACGCCTTGCATCCCCAGTGCCCTCCCCTTCGTTTGGGACATCCTTGTCGTCTCGACAGGGTATTGCGGCCAGCCGACCTGTCACAAATATCAGCACCGAGCAAGAGTTTTCCAGGTCGATTGCCAATCCGTCCTCGATTCCCGGTCCTGGTCATTCTATCCTAGCATCCCAACTCCAAGAAAGCCTTGGGCGCTCGCCACCGAGATTTGGAACTCCGTCACGACACAACGGATCCCCTGCGGTGCATTCGACTCTAGATAACCGGCCTTTGGCCTCTCAGTATGGCTCTTTCGATACCAAAAATGGAGCTGACTCCCCGGGCATGGCTCCGTATGAAGACCCTGAAGTTATCAAACGGCATCTAGTCACGGAACACACAGACACTCAGTCGGAAATTGCGACCAGCCTTGGTGGTGAGGACAACTTCTCGAGTCTTCAGCTTCAGGGCGGTGATATCACACGACAGGTTTACCGCTGGGCGGAGGATGCCGAGGCCGAAGCCGCTGGGCGGTTCTTGCGCAGCAAGAGTTTCAGCGTCAGCCGACCAAGGCCAGAGGCTGATACAGAAGACATTGACACAATTCGGGTTCCAGGAGGGTTCCGCAGAGACTATCTACGAAGAGCAGCTGGAAGTCCACACCGCGGAAGTGCCAACGGGTCAACTACAGGGGCGCCCCATGGATATGGTGCACCTCAACTGCCGACTACTAGCTTCTTGGAGTTTTTGACTCTCTATGGACACTTCGCTGGAGAAGAATTGGAGGAAGATGACGAGGTGCTAGGGCCGGATGAATACTTCTCATCTGATGCCTGGGACGAGCCAGAGGAGGGCAGAGAGTCTGGAGAAGACGCAGCGCTATTGCCGGCTGAAACACCGGGTCGGAAGAAGAGAAAGCACAAGCAGCGCTCACCGGCAGGGACAACTACCGCAACAGGGGCAGTACTCTTACTGCTCAAATCCTTTGTGGGTACTGGTATTTTATTCCTGCCTCGGGCCTTCCTAAATGGCGGTATGCTCTTCAGTAGCATGGTGCTTTTGGGAGTCTCGATTCTAAGTTATTATGCCTTCATTCTTTTGGTCAACACTCGCATGAAGATCGAAGGGTCTTTCGGTGATATCGGTGGTATTCTATACGGCAAGCACATGCGACGCATCATTCTCGGATCAATTGTCCTGAGTCAGTTAGGCTTTGTGGCAGCGTACATCGTCTTCGTCTCGCAAAATTTGCAGGCATTCGTGCTAGCTGTGAGCAAATGCGTGACATTCATTGACATCAAGTACATGGTTTTGTTGCAGCTGATCATCTTCCTGCCTCTGTCTTTGATTCGGGACATCAGCAAACTTGGGTTTACCGCCCTCATTGCTGATGTCTTCATTCTTTTGGGTCTACTATATATCTACTACTACGATATCAGCACTCTAGTTGACCAGGGTGGCATTGCAGACGTCGTTTCCTTCAACCCAGCCACCTGGTCTATGTTCATCGGTACCGCCATCTTTACCTACGAAGGTATCGGTCTCATCATTCCGATTCAAGAATCAATGAAGCAGCCAAACAGGTTCCCTGGTGTTCTGGCCGGCGTCATGGTTGTGATCACCTTCATCTTCCTGTCTGCCGGTGCCTTGAGTTACGCAGCTTACGGATCGGCAACGAAGACCGTCATCCTTCTTAACCTACCCCAGGATGATAAATTTGTCAACGTGGTCCAGTTCCTCTACTCACTTGCCATCCTGCTGAGTACTCCGTTGCAGCTCTTCCCCGCTATCCGCATTATGGAAAACGAGCTCTTCACTCGCAGTGGCAAGTACAACCCATATATCAAGTGGAAGAAGAATGGCTTCCGTTTCTTCCTGGTTATGGTCTGTGCCGTTATCGCCTGGTGTGGTGCAAATGATCTAGACAAGTTCGTTTCGCTGGTTGGAAGCTTTGCTTGTGTTCCATTGATCTACGTATACCCAGTATGTCCCTCTCGTGTATCCTTCTAATCATCACAGAACGGTATAACTGACTCAATATAGCCCCTCCTGCACCTGCGCGCTTGTGCTCGCTCTAAACGCCAGGCGATTGCCGACATAACTCTTGCTGTCTTCGGCGCCATATGCTGCGTCTATACGACGTACCTGACCCTCATGAGCTGGATGGGCCCTGAAGTCCCTCAAAGCCCAGGATACTGTGACTCTCTTTGAAGAATCTTCTTTTTTTTTGGTTTACTGTAGAGCGTGACGAGATAGGTCTTGTTGCATTTCTTTATTCTATCTCAACCCTAGGCTGGCATATATCTATCATTGGGTTTTCATATGTTGCTTCAACACATGGGCGGAGGGCATACTTGTGATGTTCATTCACAGTCTTGGTCAAATTGTCAGTATAGTCGGCAAATATTGGGGTCAGACTACTCTTTCTGTATACATATTATCTAAGTTTGGGGACTATCTACTCGGTCATATTTATGGGGCTTTCTTTAGAAGTTCATCGGATCAGAAATAAATCAAAAATAACACACCCAGCCTATCACCAAATGTCGAGGTTGTCATGATCAAGAACTAGGTCATCCCATAAAAGGAATATGATTCGAGCGCAATAATATAAAGCCTATGTACAGTGACTATCAGCAAACCGGAACTAGAGTGCAGCCAGCGCCGATATCTAAGCGTCTTCCTCAAAACCGCAAGTCCCCTCTATATGCCTCCTCTTTTGTCATTGTCCGATACTCATCTGGCCGCAAGGCAGAAACCAGCAAACCATATTTGTGGGAAGGTGCAATGCTACGAAACGAGACAGATGCTTATTAGCCCCAATGAAAACCGAAAAAGCACAAACAATTTCTTCCCGGGGGCGATTCTTAAGCGCCACCCTTAGCAGCCTGCTCGGCGAGCTGCTTTTCCCGACCTCCCCACCTGCAAAGTAGAATCAGGTTAATAACTAGGATTATATGATGGTTGTAGACAAAAACAAAAGCCAAAAATCAAACAAGGTCTTAAGGGATGAAACGTACTTCCAGTAGTTCAGATAACGGAATCCCTGGGTAGTCTGGGCGCCGAAGTTGGTCAAGTGGCATGCGAAGAGGAGGTAGTTCTTGGGGGTGATAGCGAGGGAGTAGCGCATGAAGGTGGCAGCGTAGACAACAAGGGCACCGGTCATGGGGCCGGAGATGCTGTGAAGACAGAGGTATCAGTACAGTTGCTCTGAGACTATTGCAGCGAAGGGTAACGCAGAAGACGAAAGCCGAAGCTCCCATCATTTGTCGGATAAGAACCTACATCTCAGCATCCTTCTGTGTGTCCATCACAGCGGCAATGGGGATACCGAAGTTGGAGACGGGGCCCCAGAAGTCTAGGAAGCGCCATTGATTGTCAGCAATCTGTGCAGTTCATTTTCGATTTATTGATTTGTTCAAGTGCAAGCCCGGGAGTGTTCCTCTCATCCTCGACATCGCGTCCAATGCTTATTCTCCTTCGGTCTCATTCGCCGTTGGCCGATCTCGGGACGGGAAGGGAAACTGGGATCGATACGTACGGGTTGAGCAGACATAGTCCAGCACCGAGTTGGAACGGATCTTGGCGTTGATTGCCTTAATAACAGCAGCCATCGTGAAGTTGCTGAGAGTTATCACACGGGAATGGATTCGGGGGAGGAAAGGTCGGTATCTGGATGATGCGGAAGTACTCGACTCAACCGGCGTCGGCCGTGTCACGTGAACTACCTTACTACGATATCATCTTCGATAAAACTGATGGTTCTTAAGTCTATTATCATTTTATTTGGATGTAGCTAGGAACTATCAATAATTATGTATGATATGGTAGCTTCTAGTCGTATTCTTCATATATTGTGATTTTCGGGCGCAATTTAAGACAAGCAATATGAATATATATTGGATCAGTCCTTCGCGTTGAGCACCTAAAATCCACCTCCATATTACGATTTAATGCTCAAAAGATGACGGATGGAGAGAAAAGCCAGGTGCCGTAAGACACGAGAGCAAGGCTGCTACATATAGTCCTTATATGCAGGCACTGCAAGAGTAGAAGGAGGGTAGGATATATGGGGTAAATTTGCAGGACAGGTGTGTACAGCATCCAATATAGAAGACACGGCATATTTTAAACAGAAAGTGAACACGAAGAATTGGGATATTAGACGCATTTGAATGAAAAGGCCGCGTTTAAAAAGCTAGCATATTTTTTTTGACTTAATGCGTAATTCAAAAGGATTTTGGTCTTTTTTGTCCTGTTCCTCGACACGACCTCCATCCATGCGCCGCAACGCCTTGCCCAGTAGAAGTTGGGGTAATCTAGCCTGTCCGCGTATCGTTATCTCTCGCTGGAGGCGTTGACAATGGTTCTTATTCTGCGCTGAGCCGCCCTTGTTCCTTTCAGGGTGAAATCAGATCGCCGATAATTAAAAGCATAGAATAATCCTCTGTGCACATTTCCAATTACCTGCCACCGAATCCAGGAGGAGGGTATCCACGTCCCTGACCGGGAGGCTGGAAGCCAGGAGGAGGTTGGAAACCGGCAGCTATGAGAATGGAATATCAGTATGGGTGATGCAATGGGAGAATTATTTGGGCGCAAACTTACGGGGGCCACCTTGAGGAGCAAATCCAGGGGGAGGCGCAAAACCGGCTAGAAAGGAAACAGTCAATTTGAGTCTCAGTCAGTAAAGGCAAATGGGAGTACTTACGAGGTCCGCCGGGGGGGCCTCCACGTCCAGCGAAGCCGGGAGGAGGGGCACCGGGGAAACCGCCAGGGGGGAATCCAAAGCCACCTGGGGGTGGGGGTCCACCAACGCCGGCTGCAGGGCCTCCGAGTCCAATAGGCAGGCCGCGGCCAGCGGGCTTGCTGATACCAGGGCCCGCGGCAAGAGTGGCAGCTGCGCCGGGTCCGGCAGTTCCAAGTCGAGCAGAGGGGTCAGCAGGAGGAGGACCCTCAACAGAGCAAGACACGACTTGAGTACCGCGCACGATAGTCAGACCGAGGCTTCGCTTCTCTTCCGCTTCGACCAGCGGGGCGTTTGTGGGACCGGCAGTGGGCTTGGATTTCCGCTTGATGCGACGGAATTCTTCTGTGTCTGCGAGAACAAGGTTCATGTGCTAGAGAGAATAAAGGTCAGTCTAAGCGCCTCGGTTTGGGAAGTAGTTAGAAATACCTTATCGAATGCAAGCATGGAACCGGTCATTTGACGTCCATCGTTCAATGTTACGCGCATCCGGTAGTTAATCTGGAAGAGAAGTTAGATATTCCAATCGATAACCAGCAGTGAGTTGAGCCGGACTCACAAGGTTTTGCTAAATGAAAGAGGTTAGCGACAGCCATTGACCGCACGGGTTTCGGGGGTGCAAATGGGGACGAGAAACTCACCATCTTGTGGGAAGCCATGTTGGCTAGAGAGCGCGCACGGATGCGACTTGACAGACCAAATAATAGAGATCAGTAGATAGAAAAAAGTCTTTCTACTGCGGCGGATGAAGCAAAGGTGCGAGATCCCATCAAAGATGTGAAGCTCAAGCTTGTCGAGTGCTGCCAGTTCTTGATAATGGATTACCTAAGTTATGAGTCAGCTCGGACCCAAGCCCTGTGATGCCTCAGGCACGACGAGAGTAAAAGGTCGCAATGACTAAGCGCTAAAATTAGGCTCATTATCTAAGCAAAGATCAGGGCTTCCAAATCACGTGTAGGAGCCCACAGTCCACACTTTCTCTTTTTCCGCGATCACTCTTGTCTCCTCAGTCGACAACCACTTCACGCCCAACCGCCGTCATGGTATGTACAGCTCCTTGCAATTCAAACCACACATTCCAGATCGATTGTATTGTTTTATTTCATTCCATTTGATCTGGGTCACAACCTGGAGATTTCCGCTTGCGCGCACCTAATCTTCAATGTCCCTCAAATACATCCATTCTTTGAATAGATACACGGTCCATAAACTGACACTAACATGATGCAGTCCGCCCAAGTTGCTAAGGCCGAGAACCCCTGCCGATCCCTTCGCTTGTCGAAGTTGGTCCTGAACATCTCCGTCGGAGAGTCCGGTGATAGACTTACTCGTGCCGCCAAGGTTCTCGAGCAGCTTTCCGGTCAGACCCCCGTCTACAGCAAGGCCCGTTACACCGTCCGTACCTTCGGTATCCGCCGTAACGAAAAGATCTCCGTCCACGTCACCATCCGCGGTGCCAAGGCCGAGGAGATCCTCGAGCGTGGCCTCAAGGTCAAGGAGTACGAGCTCCGCAAGCGCAACTTCTCTGAGACCGGTAACTTCGGATTCGGTATCAGCGAGCACATCGATCTCGGTATCAAGTACGATCCCGGCATTGGTATCTACGGCATGGACTTCTTCGTCTGCATGTGAGTTTTCCACTGGAAACAGCATTTTGTGGCAATTCACTCTGGATATTAACAAACTATTCTAGGGACCGCCCCGGTGCCCGCGTTGCCAAGCGCCGCCGCTGCCAGTCTAAGATCGGTGTCAACCACCGCATCACCACCACCGAGACCATGAAGTGGTACAAGACCAAGTACGATGGAATTATCCGTTAAGTCTCCAAATAAGAGATAATGGCTGGGTAGGGCCTGTGAAGTACGAGGTACTCGACAAGAACCAAAAAATTATCCCGAGTACTCGAGGAAACAAAATTTGTGGACGGGCACCCCACTGCCAGTCAGCGGGCCCCTTTTGATCTCTGCATCCAACATGGTCTTGATTTTGTACTCCGGCAACCAGGATAGGCGTGGGAGAGACATGAATTGATTATTACCCTTTTACTGCTGCTTTTCCCTTTTCACAATGAGGCTTCACGAGAGGTGATGTTTTCCGCATAACCATTGTTGAATTGGATGGCGGACACTGGGTTTCGACCTAGTGTCTAGCCAAGACTTGCTTGAGAATGCCTCATGGGCTTCGTCAAAGAGTCGGTCTCTTTCCCAGCGAGAATATTCTCGTGGTGGATTGGGTACCTTGTTCTGGCCTATCTTGTCTGTCCTTATCCTATCCTCGTAGGTGCCATTTGCCTGGCATAGAAGTAAACCGGTCGTAGCTTGTAGAGTGACCTTACGGTCCTCCGATATGACGATAACGCCGACATGGGTACTGCTCACGCTTATGCGCGGTAATACCGGGCAGCCTCTTGAACATCACCCTGTGCAGCAATGCGAAATAGCCCATCCTCCAGCCGAGATCGAGGCACAATGATACGAACTCGGAGCCATGCAGCCAAGAAGACTCGAACATTTCTACTCCGGAGTCTACTATAACCGGCTTCGCTCTATCCATAATAGAGAGCTATCGGTAAGTGCTTTGACTGTTGAATTGACATAGCCTTTGAGGCGTCTGAACCACTTTGATAAAATATTTTGGAGATATGGAAGCCTGTATTTGGAGACTAATATAGTACTACAGGATACTTCATTTAATCTACCATAGTGATATTATTTTCCCCTTCATACGAATTCGTTAATTGACGACCTCTCCCGCACAACGTTCCAACATTTTATCGGAGCTTAATTAGCCAATTTCTATCAAATAAAAAGCCTTGCTGGTCGACCCCTACTCTTATGAGCTCGGTTCACCTATCCGCTCCCCGAGAGTAGCAGTGACTGCAGTCCTTCATTTCGGAATAATAAGTAAGTCAGTTTTAAAGTTTGTGTAGGCTATTATAGGCGAGGAAGCTATAAATATAGAAACGGAGTAATATTTGAACATTTTTTGGAGTATAAATTTTCAAGTACACCAAAGATATATATGGTGCAGGGTACTTCGGTTTAACAGATATTTTTTTGTGTCTTAATTAGTTCGTTATAGCTAGGGTTTGCTGCACAAGAAATAGTATGCGCTTTGTCTAAGATTGCTCGAACACCCCAAGAAAGATAATAATATTCGGCAAAACATACTCCAAGGTCTAGAAATGTACCTTTTATATGCATGCGATGCCCATATACAAGGTACATTGAGTAAAACCCTTATATCACGACTACAATGTTGAATATTAGGAACGCAACTTGAAATTATAGACAAGTCCAATCAATTATTGATGGAAGTCAATTATTTGGTAAAGAAAAACTATTTGTACTATATTGGAGTTGGAAATTGAAAACCCTACTAAAAGATGATAGTGTAATAACTTTAAACACTAATTATCTGCAAATTAACCACCCCTCAAATATATAAAATCAAAAAACAAGTAACATAAGCTAGCTTTGTTGTTACCTAAATACTACTGTGGTTGAGGTATAATGACTTTACTCAAAGTAATTTGTATAATTCTACATGGTCCATGTGGGATTGTGTTTTACATGGTGCGGCCCAACACCCTAAAGCCGTTGGGCCATGCGAAGGGTTGGGTATAATGTCAATTATTATCTCGCTCTTCTTCTGTTGTCCTTGACGTAAATCATAATTTAAATTACCTAGGTAAGATGAAGAATATAGTAGGTATAGGCCTCTCTATAATGCACTCCATAGAACGGCGAAAGGACTAGAAATTGTGTCGATTCGAAAATCAATCACCACCAGCATCCAATTTACATTTTCCGATCCGCCATCTCAATGGTCTGGTCACTTGGCTTATGATCATCCTCACCGGTTTCCAAATCCATGGCTTTGGCATTGGCAGCCTCATCAACTCCAGCCACAACACTTTCGAACCGGCGACCACGTTTCTCAGGACCAACAGCAGTAGTGACCATGATACCAAGAGCAATGATGGCAGTGGCAACTCCCATCACAGGCCCATAGGCCTCAACACGATGACCGCTTGCACTAGTGATAAATGTGGATTCAGAGATTGCGTTTATAATCTGCGACGATGGCGAGGAGATCATATTTCCAATCTGGTATGTCAGACCCGTGAACGAAGAGCGGAATGCTGGGGGAGACAGTTCGGCCAGATGAACGGGAATTACGCCCCATGCTCCCTGAATGAAGAATTGCATGAAAAATCCTGTCGCACTCAGAGACCCTTCGCCTTCTGGGAGAATCCATGCCGGGATGAGGACCCCAGAAACAAAGGCGGCGACGATGATGGCTCGGCGACGACCAAAGAATTGGGACAGATAGCCGATGATGGTTCCGCCCACACAGGCCCCTGTTTTCATCAGAATAGAAGCCCGAGAGGCGCCGTCATTATCAAGCTCCTTTGCAGTGAGCATGAATGTGGTGTACGAGTCTTGGGATGTGTGGGAATAGAAATTGAACTATCGTGGGATAAATTAGATAAATGTGGTTAGGAGCTGGAATAGCGGCCATAACATACCCAAGTCATGAGAATGACACAGTAAACGCACATGCGCCACTCCTTGCCCAACATGCTTATTGTTTCACGCCAAAACTCGCCTGCATTCATTGTTCGCTTGCCAGCTTTCTTGGCTTCGACGAAGGACTGCGACTCGGGGAAGCAGATGCGAATGAGACCAACTGTAATTGAGATACCGGCTAGATAGGACAACTTGTTAGTGGTAGGCAGATAGTATTCAATGGGATTTAGACTCACCTGCAATCCAGAATACGGTTTTCCAAGTTTCTGTTCCACCGCCAACACCTAGGTTGGCACATGCTGCAAATACGTATCCCATTGAATAACCTTGTTGAAGGATTCCAGACATAAGACCTCTCGCATTGACACTGGTTTGGAGGAAGATTAGCAAAAAAGTCAACGAGCCGTGGAGGATAATACTCACGGGCAATGTTCCAAAGCCATCGAGATAGCATTTCCATAAACGCCACCCATGAAAAGACCAAAGAGACTTCGCACAGCCAAGAACTGCTGGAAGGTCTTACTATAAATAGTGGCAATTTGCAAGATTCCTAGAATGATCATATTGAGCACCATGGGCCATTTACGGCCATATTTATCACCAGCGAGTCCAAAAAATGCAGCTCCTACACTTCTTAGCAGTAGAGTCAGAGTGATGGCAGTCGTAATATCTGTTTTGCTTCTGTCGTAGTATTTTGCCAGCTTTACTGTCTGGATGGAGAGGGCATGGAAATCAAATGCATCGGCAGTCCAGGCAGTGAGTCCCACTATAAAGAACAGCCAGTCTCGAGCTGAAAGCTGCGCTATCAGACTGAAAGGATTCTTAATGCGCTCTGGCGATTGCCATTCTGCGTATGACTCTCCATGTTCATTGGTGACCTCGACACGCTGCTTCCAGATGAAGAGATCTCCGATGGACTGACGTGCCGTGGCGAACATACCATCCGGAATGGGATCTGCCCTTTCATTGGAAGACGCCATTATAGCAATCTACCAAGAAGAAAAAAGAAGTAAAAAAAGTCAAGAAGACAGAAGAAGTAGGCAAGACAAGATAACCGATAGAACAATCAGATCACTTTGAACAAAGCAGCCCAGAAAATTTGATAGTAGACTTTGTGGTATTCAACCGGGGGATCTTAGGCATATTCCTTCCAATTTCTACGTCTGCGCTCACCATTTTATAGTCACACACCGCGATCTACCCCCGCATCTACATCCCGCATTTCCCTCGTGATGGGAACAATTAATGCTACTGCACCCCAGGATGCCCCGAGTTTCGGACGGGTAAGTTACCACTCCGCTAGGGAGCCAAGCAGATGCCAAGGATTTGGAAGCACCGTGCCTCCAATGCCAGAACAGGATATAAGCAACATCCCGCACCGCACACCTTAAGGCTGGCTTGGCGTGGGGATGACCTTGGCCAGAGATCCTTCTGGACTTGGCTCAGCCGACATAGACAAGCACCCACAAGCCGCGTGGCGCTGTGTGCATGGTCATTGATCGGTTGCGCCGAGAAATTTGAGTAAGAATGGGCCGATATGCATTCCAGTGGCTCCGGTTCGGTTTTTAACGTGAGTTTAGGGCCAAGACCATCGGAACAACTTCCTTCGGGGCTCTAGTGGGCTGTTAGCAGTCGGCTACATTGCCTTAGTCTGGGGAGGTGTTCTGGATTGGGGGGGCCACTGGAGTTGGGGTTAGTGGTTAAATGACTTTATATCGAGAAAATACCGCAGGGACCTAGGCGCTGCTCACATGATGACGTCCGGATATTTGTAGCAATTGTAATGGTTGGGTGACAGACTCCGCTAGAGTGGATCTGGTTAAGGGGCCAATTTCCAATTTCCAATCCTGGAACCTCCTGAGTTCGGAAGTCTTGGCTTTAGCCGCGGGAGGCTACTTGCAACGGTTGGAACGTAAAACTGGCTGAACATGCACATTCCTTGCTTTTAGGGTCCACGGGTTGAAGGTTAGCTTATATCCTCATGCAGGCGTCAATGGCTTGCATTTATAAAAAAATAAGTGTTGTTTAAAGAGTAGAGTGTGTGATGCAGTAGTGTTTGACCCAGGTCATAAGAGAAACAAAGAAATACTAGAGAACGTGGCCAGGTGGATGAGTGGTAAGAGCCACCTACGTGTAATTTGTAGTAGTAAACATTGGAGCATCCGGAGGGCGGTCAGGTATACCTCCAATATAGATAGAAGATGTATGAACTTGAATTAACAGCACTTCTCTCAGATTAATCTGACAAACAAGATGCCAGCAAGTTTGCTATCTCTATTTCACTTTGG